TGAGTATCGAATAAATGCTTATTATGTTCATAGTTTTTAAATGTCAGTTATGGTGTTTCTAGATTGATAAATATTAAATACTGACTGGAATTTTGCGTAGGCAGGAACATATTGTAGTGTTGGGTAAGACACCACCAAAACATATTTCAATTTGTAAATTTCCCTGTTTCACCAAGTTCAAGTGTGAATCTCCAGCAGATAGATCAGGTGTCAGATAAAAGGAAAAGAGTGGATAGCCTCCCGAGTATTCGTCATATCCTATATCAATTCCTTGATCTTGAGACTTATTTTCCCATTCCACTAAATAATGTTTCATAGCTTCGTACATACAGTTCAGAATAAAAATCGGGTTGTAAAGTTCGAGCAGGAATCTGTTTTCCATACACATTTACTGCCGTGAAATTGATACTGTAATGGTTGATATTTTGTGGAGTTTTGTTCCAAGATTAGTTAAATGCAATGTTATCCACACATCATATAACAAGACATGTAAGTATTTGACCGAAAAGCGCATTATTGATAGATGCTTGTAAGTTTCTTTGAGAAATTGAAAACAATATTCACGCTATATATTTCGAAAAATATTTAGCTATTGAATAAATAGAGTTGTTTAAACATTTGTTTAACAACAAGTAAAAGCTTGGAATGGTCTATTCTTTCATTGGGTGTGTGTGTGTGTGTCTGTGAGCCAGACTAGTTTCGGAGAATTCCACTCTTCATCAGTGACCCTATTTATTCAGTTATGTACAAAATGCCCAGTGTCGGCTAACAATACGAATTAAATTGTGGAGAAATGCTACAAGTTCTTCAAATACCTATAGAATGATAGGTTTTTTGCTTTTTTTTGTGAGTGTAAAACACTTAAATACACCAGTTCGATTAGCCATTCCTTTCTGATATGCTTTAACATGCCATAGAACGACTAACAGGCTGATTTTGACTTTTCTAGAATAGATAAAAACATTTGGTATTGAAACTTTGAATTCTGATTTATCATTTGTCATAATACAAAATGAATCTTTACTTCATATGAGTGGGAGTTTTAAGTTAAACCATTAGGCAAGAACTTGTTCTGCAAAAATATGTCTGTGTGTAGATGGCTGATCATGTATGTATGTGTCGCTCTTTAATTTCTTCATCCTCACCATCATTAAAATCGAGATAGTAAAAACTACCTGCTGTGTCTTTTACCCACTTAGACGATTTCAAACGGTTTCTCTTAACTTCTCCATTATAACTCAGTAAAGCTTTTTTGTAAGCCTTATACACATAAAGGTTGTGAGATGAAGAAATTAGCTTGTCATTCAGGTTTATATCAACTTGAGAAAATGGAGAATGAAGAAACATATTGACATGAGCAGAGTTATCTTCATCTTTTTTTTATGTCGGTCCAATACAGTTTGATAATCTTTGCCTTTACATGAAGATATGAAAATAAGTCTAGCTAGTTCAGACTTTGCATATTGAGAGGACTTTTTATGCAAAAGGAAGTCAACGATTACTTGTCAAAAAAGTCTAGAGTCAGTGTTTTTCATCTGTTTTTTCTTTTGTTAGGTAGAGAAACCTTGAGCTCCTTGTAGTGTTTATCATTTTCAAGTATCAACAAAAGACTTACTTTGTATGACATCTGATGCTAAATTTATGTCTGAATGAACAACTGGTTTTACAAAGGCTAATGTCCCTTTTTTAGAAATGGTATAGCTGAATAAACATGTGGCTCACTGTGTTTCTGAGTCCATTAACCCATTACCATTGACTACCAGTGTAATAAGGTTAACCATTTCCCACTTGGTAATATTGTAAAAGGCATCACAGACAGATAGTTCGTGATAGTATGGAACTCTCATGTTGAAATAGATGACGAAAATGAAGTATTATGATGATTCTCCCTTGTTCAAATTATATAGGTCGACCTGTGTCGTCCTTTATATCGATCTCAATACTTTGAAAACTCTTTTTAGAAATGGATCTGTAATGAGGACTTGTAAATGTTTCAATGATCATATCTCCACCCTGACCTTTAACTTCAATGATTCATATCATTGGTACATAAGCGTAACCAACAATACTAGGTTCCATAATATCTGTGTAAACATGTTAACAGTACATGGAGATATAGTGGGCTCTTTTATCATACGACTAACATCAAATTCAAGTAGTACTGATGGTACAGGATCGATTGTTATAGAGGCCTAATCATTTACATTCAAACTTACTTTTTGGGTGGATGAATCGTAAGTAAATACAGATTCACTGTTAGGTTTAATAAGTGACTCTTCTACTTGGTTTAAGATTCTAATTAAACCTTCAGGTTCTATGTAATGACCAGATTTAATATAATTGATTACAGTAGCTTAGTGATGGCCAGAAAATTAGGATAACCATGCCATTTCATCAGGCACATTATTCCAGCTATGTGGATACTGTAATTTAGCCATAGCCACTTCCCACGAACCTTCAAGGTTGATACGTCCCAAAAGATGAATGAGATACATAGTTTTTCAGAGTATTACTAGCAAAATGCTGAATAACGAGAAATAAAGTTTTGCTTATCATTTTATGATGGCAGATGATTTAGATATGTTTGGGGGATCCAGCTATTAAATATATCAAGATATCTTTTCTATTTTACAAAATGGTTCGTTTTTACCCCTTCCTTATTCATATAATATTTCTTCCACAGTGTAAAGGTCACTGGGGGACTTGATAACAAGATGTAGTTCAGATTCGTAAAATTTTCCATGTAATTTTACTCCGAGATAGGTTTGCAGTCTATACACTGGCGGATTTATCTGTAATATCTTGTAAATCATAGAGATTTCATCTTCCATCCAAGCATATAGCCTTTCTTAAATTGACACTTCACTTTATTAATACGTACTTGATCGCCCACTTTAATTGACATTTTACTTCAGTGGGTGGTTTGTAAAGTGTCTTCCACACCAGAAACTGATCAGAGTGATTAACATCTATTGGTCTCATTTTAATGATGTGATGATACGATTGATTCGAGGCACTGACCAGATTTTGCAGTGCAGTGGTATATTTGTAAGTTCCACGATGATTAAAATAGTGCCACTTTCTAGTTTTAAGAATGCAGTTAAATATTTCTATTATAGGTGCTTTTGTTTTGTTATGTGTAGTAAAGAAGTGGATGTATTGTTCCTTGAGATAACATTGAAATAGACGATTAGTAAATCCTATCCCAGTATCATTTTGAAGTTTACAGGGTTTTCGACCTTGTTTCAAAATCTGCTTGAAAGCCTTTACAAGTGTGACACCTTTCTTATTCGTCAGCAGAACAATCCATGCATATTTATTTACTCACCTCAATACACTTGAGTAAATACATAAACTGATTGTTATATTGACTTAGGTTAGATATATCCATCAAATCAGCCTGCCATTGTTCATGGATTCCTGAAACGATCACTTGGTTTCTTGAAAATTTATATCTTACTCTTTTGTGTAGAGTGTATGTATCCTGACGACTAAACCAGTCTTTGGATTGTTTTAGAGAGTCACACCTTTCTTATCTGTCAACAGAACAACCGATGCATATTTATTTACTCACCTCAATACATGTGAATAAATACATAAACTGATTGTTATATTGACTTAGGTTATATATATCCATCAAATCAGTCTGCCATTGTTCATGGATTCCTGAAACGATCACTTGGTTTCTTGAAAATTGATATCTTACTCTTTTGTGTAGAGTGTATGTATCCTGACGACTAAACCAGTCTTTGACCTGTTTTAGAGTGTTGGATTTATCTAACACTTTCAGAAATCTGAATGAACTTCACCATAACTAGCAGAATGTGTGGGATTATAACAGATAGATTGTTGATTTTTATTAGACATTATTTTCTACAATAATATCATTTACTATTTATTTTACCATCAACTCTGTCTCCAACAGTAGTAATAATGTGACCTTTACAACAGGCGATGTTTATTCAAAATATTACTAAACTTAAAAGGATGACGACAGTCAAGAGAAAAATGATTGACTAATACAATACTACTTTATTTCTATTAATAGTATAATCTCCATGTTCCATACATAACTCTCTGTCAACATTTCCAGCAATTTCTTGTGGAGTATTCATATCTGATAATCGTTCTGCAAATTCTTTCCGTTTGGTAGGGTTACAATTATTTCATTTTCTTAGTAAATTATTCGTTAGGTCGATTATGTTACTGGTCAGGACAGATCTTATTATCTTCAGTCATTCCACATTACATCCCCACTGGAATGTATCAGTTTCAATAGGATTTCAGCTTTCTTTTAATATATCTAAGAAACACTGTCGACAGTCTCTAAATTTTCATGAGTCGATGATCCCATTTTAATTTTAATGGGTTCCATGGCTTATGAATGAAAGGTCTATGGCATTTTTGTAGCTGGTATATCATTTTTGCTTTACCACATATGGGTAACATATCATTTTGTATAACAGAATTCATATTATTATCTATAAAGTTTAATTAATACTTTATGAACTGGTCTTTCATAAACTTTGGGTTGATAAAGTGAATGTACCAGTTTCTCAAGAATGAAAATTATTAATTTTGTGTGTTCCATATTTTTTTTAAATTCCAACAGCTTTACCCATAGCACTTCCTGCCAAACCATCAAATGATGAAAGTAATGGCAGAAACCCTCATTTCTATATTAATAAGTTTCTCTTTTGTTTAAGTGATGCTTTCTTTCTTCTTCACGGCCAACTCTCTCAATTATGATTTGTATTGTCTAAGTTTCTGCTTTTATTTATTTTTTTGTCAGGGGAATGTTACCCATTAAAACATTTAAAGCGTATTTACACATATACACAATAAATTCATTTTTAGTAGTTATTCCTTTAATCTTTTGTATGTTGATTTGGGTAATGCATGGAACAACTCTTGATATAGTTAACCCTTAAGTTTCATGATAAATATATGAGAAGAGATTGTAAGTAAAACATATATAAACTGTTTATCTTCACATGTAGACTCCTTATCCCATCTGCTGGGAGTCTTGCAGAATTCATCCACGAGTAACAAGTCTGGCTTCTGTAAATTAGAAGAACACGATAGCAAGTCCAAGAAGACCGACCAAGAACGAATCTGTAGAAAATTAAAAGAACATTAATTAGTAACTTAGAAGCAGCAAATTTAAGATAATAGTTAATAGAAAATGACATACTATTTAAAGAAGAACTGAGACAAAGATATAGCATCTACTTTTTTACATTACAGTGATAATGATTGTTAATAAGAAAAGGACAAGATAGAGTCAATTTTGGAAGTTGATTAACCCTGGGTCATCGAAACGATTACAGATTATAATAAGGAATTTTCAAAAGACTTCTCAATATCACAGCTGTTGCTCTCCCCTCTTTATAAAGGGTGGTAAAGTTCTCTTTGAACAGTCTAGCCACACTCCACAGTTAGGGATAGTCAATGTTTTCAGTTTTCCATGGGATGTGATAAATGTACTGTGTCACCCATTAGCACTGACGTCGATCTATATCTGAAATATATTCAGTCAAAACAGTTGTTTAAATGAAAACACACCTATATATGCAAAGATGTTTGAATTCTAGTTCTTTAATTATATAGGGAATGTCTTTCAGATAAAATCCTTCTATTCTATAACGACCACAGTGATGATAATAAATGTGTACATATTCAGTAAAAGTTTTAAATACCTTTGGTATACACACTATAACTATATTTTCAGGAAACAGACCTGTCCTAAGATGTATTTTGGTTTAATATTTGTGGTTTCAAATCAATGAGTAAGTAACCAAACCATTGTTGTGTTGCATCTTGATAAGCTTTCTCAAAATACGTGACACATGTTGGAAACATTTGTCTTACTAAAACATTCAACTGAGAGGTGTCTCTGATATTCTTGAACAATATAATGTATTGAGAATTTAAAATAATATTACGCACTTCTTTTCTCTGATTAAGTAGATTCTGTACAATATAAATTCAAATGGCGACTTCTGCATGTAATAAGTTCAGATACTCGTTTATTTTCTCTACTTTCACTCCTATGATCATCAATGGTGAAAATATTTGGTTTATCAGGCTGTGCATAATCATAAAAAGTTTCAGGCAATCCTTTGACGAATTGAATGTTAAGAATATTTTGCATTAATTCAGTATACAGAGGTTGAAATTCACTACAAAACCACATGGTATTTTCAGGATTAGGATAACATCACGATGATGAGTTAAAACTTGTTTACAAACTCTGATTTACCACTTCCTGTCGCACCTGACATTAAACATGTAAAAGGGTGTTGTAAATGGTTAACCATCTCGAACTCTAATGAGATATATATATGAAACAGGACTAAACTTACCTAGATCTGAAAATCATATTCCATTGCACTTGGAACCCTACCTCAAGACCCTGCACATGCCCTCTTTTCAGTCCAGGAGTTATTTCCATTAGATGAAAGAAACCAATGTCCATACAGTAGATATACATATAAACAGAATAATAATTCTTCTTTTCTTTCTTGTTATAAATGGTCTCAGTCTTCTACATATCTTCTAAGGATTTCTCACTCTTATAGGATGCTGAAAAGGATTGAATATATCTGTTATTTTACTCTTCATTGATGAGAAATTTAATTTCTCACTTTTAATGAAATTGATGAATAAACCCTCTAATTTTACAACAAGGCTTTACTGTTGCCACATAAGTATCCATAGTTCTATAGACCATTACTGACCCACAATGTGATATAATTAGCATCGTCCTTGTCTGTAAGTTTCCCAAGATAGTCCCCTAGAAGTGGATCTTTAGATCTATTTGAAATATAAACAATACTATTTGTATCATAATACAATACAGACAAACCTGATGTTTCTATCATATGGTTCAATTTCAGCAATGGTGAAAGCAACCAGAAAGATGTTGATTTGATCTTTCTGGGGTAGATACTCCATTGATGAGCAATTACTTCATCATTAACCCTATAGCTTCCAGCACCATTGTTAAATTTCTTTCTGTGAATGGTACTCATTACATTTAAAATTTGATTAAACCACTTTACTATCAATGTATTTTAATGAAATTACTATTATCAAGTACATTATAATTTAAAGTTTTATATTATCTAAATTTTATTCCTTTATTTCAAAACGAAACATCTAAAACAGCAATTAAAACTGCAGTTTTTGATGTCACGTGCAGTTATAATACTTGCAGCTATAATACTCAACTTTTAAGAGCTATTACACAAAAAACTGTGAGTAGCTAATATAGATTGTTATTTCAAACAGTTAATATCCACCATATCCACGTATTTTCTTACTGTCTGGAGATCTCCCAAACATTTCTTCCCCCAGGAAACCATTGTAAATCTTACCTTAGTTTGAGATAAGCAACACCCACTTGCAAGGTCGAAGTCTGGTTTCTCAGCAACAATTTTAAATTGAATGGCATGCTTATAACCAACAGGAAGGGCAGATTTGTTATTATAATAAAAAACTTTTTCTTATACGTCTGTTCTTCAAATGGCATGAAATGAGTCAAGTAGGTTATTGAGACTGGTGTCTGTAGCACTTTATCTCACCATATGTGTATTAGTTTGATAGCCAGTTAAATTGCAATTACGCTTTACTTTTATAATTTAGTTAATTATGTATTATTTGAGTTTTAAAATTCGTAGTTGAAAGGTTTAATGATTTTCATAAGTTTACTTATTTGTCTCAGATTTTGTCAAGATATCTGAACACAGTACCTGTGCAGTACTTATCACCAGTGGGCACATGTCTCTTGGGAGCAGTAAATAATAAAGACCCATGGGCCATTATGAAATGTTTCAGCATAAATTATAAAAGACGAAGAATTTGAAAAGAAACTTAAGAATTAAAATTTAAATGAGCTATAAGTGAAAAGATAAAAACATTAAACACATGAGTAAAAAACAATTTCTAGTGAATTTCCACCTAAAGTTGAAAGATATGTACGTATTTTCAATTGTTAATTTTAAACATTTCATTGCACTGTATGTTGATAATAATAGATAGAGTTAGTGATATAGTAGAGGAAATGGAAAATGAAATACAAATATTTACCTTAAAAACTTTTGATATTCATTTAAGAGGTTCTAGAGATTATGCAAATGAAAAGAGAAAACTTTTAGATAATAAATATATATTATACTCAAAATGAAAATCACCCTAGAGGTAAACTCTTCACAGTCCGAGTGTAAATAACTACATGAAATAACGAAATTTTATTAGCAGTAGTATAACAATCAAAATTAAATATTTTTCTGAAACTAAATACTTTTAGGAACGTTAGTGTCAAATTTTAAACAATTTCATTCACTAGTTTTATTTTTGTAACAAAATATGATGGCAGCAACGTTACCATCTAAAGAATATTAGTTACCAGAAGCCACGGGGTTAACTAATGTAACGTCTGTTATGATCTTGGTATTATATTTTACTAAAGAGTGATTCTTTAACATCATGAAGAACTGTCAAATGTGAACTTACAACAAAAAAGTACTGCGAGGACTGTATTTGTCTGTATGCAGACAATATTGTATACATTACAAAAACTGTTATCTAATTTGCATCCCACAAAGATATTAATGATATGTTTGTTCATGAGCTTTTGCAAACGTTTTCATGTAAATATGTCCTTAATTGAGATATCTTTTTATGTAGATCACATTGCAAAATTTTTATTATGAAAAAATAATGGTGTCAAAATTAAATATTTTGTCAAGAACTATTTTATTATGATGATAAACCAAAGAAAACAAAGATAATAATTTTACGTGCAACTAAATAGTGGTTTGCTTACAAACTCTTTGTACTCATCATACCAATGCGCTCATTGGGACCACTATTTGGAACTATGATCTAATCAATCCCATAAGACAGTCGGACCGGCATGGCCAGGTGGTTAGGGCACTCGACTCGCAATCTGAGGGTTGTGGGTTCGAAACCTCGTCCCACCAAACATGTTTGCCCTTTCAGCCATAGTGGCATTATATTGTGACAGACAATCCCACTATTCATTGGTAAAAGAGTAGCCCAAGAGTTGGCGGTGGATGGTGATGACTAGCTGACTTCCATCTAGTCTAAATTATGGATGGCTAGCACAGATTTCCCTCGTGTGGCTTTGCACGAAATTCAGAACAAAAAATAAAACAATCATGTCATTATATCACCCATTCCTAAGACAGTTGCACCCTCTAGTGTTTATTACATAATAGTTATGTAACCTTCAGGTGGCATCTTTTGATCTCCAGTTATCTGATGATCCTCACTGTAGCAGCTTCCTAAGAGTGCTGAACAGGCACCCGAACCTAAAACACCATTTATTATTAAATATGGTATAGAAGAACCTATTTGGTATACAAATGTTACCACTACTGCTGTGCCTTCTGTTACAAGACCTTCCTGGACTACTCTAGCCATGAAACTTTTCAAATCCAGTTCCAGAATTTAGCTAAACAGTTCAACAACATTGCCTGGTTGAGAAACCAATGTACTATGATGGAGGCATACCAAGCTCAGTTAGAAATAATTTACAGAGTAAACAATTGTAATAGTGAACAACAATCTAATAATTTTGTGGCCACTTAAAAGGATTAGCTCCAACAACATTAAGTAACCTACCAGCTGAAAGCCATAACAGCTATCAATATTTTTCCAACATGTTCGACATAACACAAAAGAAAGAAGTATCCAGAGCAAAATTCTGGAACAGAGTATGGAGAAAAGAAAAGACCATAGTCAAACTAGATAAGATTTGGAAGAGTTTGCCCAATTATCTTATCCAACTGCCCCACGTGAAATAATGGACCAATTTATAGGTACAATTACAGATGATGATATAAGAATTTCAAAGGGCGTGTACATCTTTAAAGAAGATCTCCAATTTGTGATGGAATTGAATACTCTGAATGTGCAGATAAATAACTACAAATTATGATACTATCAACTCCCTCTGACGATAGTTTGGCATGTTCTGAGAGATGCATCATTGGAAGTGCTCTCAAGAATCTAAAGAATAAAGATATCACAGATGATTTTACCTTGGAGAGACTAATACTGGGTTGCGATAAAATAAAACGTCACTATATAAGCTTGGATTTCATAATATGGTTGAACGACTCTCATTGGAGGAAAGGAAAAACTCCAAAGTTAAGTAGGTATTGCAAAGAGCAATATGTTGTATTAAAACGAATCACTTATGTAGTTTACAGAATCCAGAAGGATGGGCAGTTTGAGTCAAAGGTCATCTACCATGATCATCTTTGGAAGTACATCAGTGGGAGAACAGTAGACTGGGTAACACCAAAGAATAATTTGCAGCAAAAATTCAACCTGTGAAAGTGCCCACGATTCCTGTCGAGATCACTTTCAGGGGATTATCATAGATAGAACCACCAATAGATTCGCTGGACTACCTACTCGGTGAACCCCCCCCCCCCCCTTGATAGGACAACAAGTTACCATAAGTCTCAGAAGAAAAAGACTAGTGTTATAAGCTATATTTTTAATATTTTAATTTAAATGTTGGCTAGAGAGAGCTCATCATTTTGATGATATCAAGAATCTAGTAAGTTCAGATTGCACATGGAGACAAGGTTTGCCCCTAACTATTTCTTTCACCAGTTTGCCCTAAAGTTTTATCTTGCCACCAGCTTTCCTCCGCTTCCAAATTTAATCCTACATAAATAGAGCAAATGTTAAGTATATAACAAGAAAGCACGTTCTCACGTGCACTACTGTTTTATGGGATGTTTTTTTTTCTTGTATGCTAGATGTCAACCAGATATATTCTACAATAATAGTTATTTTCTTTAACTCTACTTTTTATACTAATGGTACAATTGCACTAAATAATTATTTATTTGATTAAATAATGCTCAAAAGAACCCAGAATAATAACATGCAAAAACAGAATATGTTCCATAACTATCACAAAATTTCTGGCTTTCTAACTATGCCACAAATGTCGTTAGAAATTAAGCAAAGCTGGTCGATATGTTTCTTATGAGAACAAAAGTAAACTGAAACTACACATTGTGTTTTGAGAAAGAATGAAAGTAGAATAATATTCCATTTCAAAGGTGAAAACCTTGGTTTTATATTGGATTGAAAGTCAGAGAAAACTATTGACAAGTTCTGAAATAGAAGATTGTCAGATGGGCGTGGAAAGATGGGGCTGATTTTCTATTTGATAGCTCTGTAACTAATTAAGTTTTAATTCTATAAACTTTATACTAGCCTGAGCGATGACAATATTATACTACCCCCATAAAAGGGTTAAAAAGCGACCTAGGCCTGCCTTTCTTAGAAACGTTGATAAATAAGGTCTTCAGACTGGTTTTGCAGTAAAGTTGTGAAAAGTACAACTTTTTGTGTTCCAAGCTATCTTCAGAGCTTTTACTTTGTGCCCCCATATTTGTTGCAGGGTTATTCTTTAAATTTATAGGTCAATAGGTAGCGGGTATCTTTCAACAATACATTTTACTGTTGTTAATTGCTACATAAAGTTAGTGTTCTGCATACGTGTGTAGACACATCAAGTCTTAATATTGAGAAAATGGATATCAGAAAAAAATACCCGCGTAAATCACAGGATTCCCAGGAAGATGAATCTATCAAAGAGACAGATGGACCAAGCAAAATGTGCCGAAGGACTAAAGATGAAATAATTGTACCGGAAGACTCGACAGAAGATAGACTATTGAACCAATGATGCATTGTGGATAATTCTAATCAAGAACATGAAGATATATTGGGTGAACTTGCTAGCATTGGGGAATTACATGAGC